CACACACACACACACACACACACACACACACACACACACACACACACCAGGCCACTGCGACTGTCATTAAAAAATTAACCAGTTGCCGAGCGTCCGAATTTTGATCCCGTGATCGTGAGGATGCTGCAACGGGCATTAAGTGTGGGAAATGGACACAATGGACACCCCCCCTTTTTTTCAAGTGCCGTTGCAACTTCAGAAAGTCGCTAAGGGAATAGTAAGTCGAGGACCACCTCCAGCACCCTAATATTACTTTAGCACCCTACCTCCAGCACCCTAATATTCCTCCTCCAGTCATGTTAGCTCAGGAATTCTGGGAGTTGAAGTCCACAAGTCTTAAAAGTTGCTAAGGTTGGAGACCCCTGCTTTAGCACAAAACATATGAGGGGTGGGGCACATCTTGGTTGTACTTTTGTATGGGGGGGGGGGGAAATCAACCTTTTTCTGGCTGCATGCAGAAATGAGCTTTCTTCAAGCAGGCTTCTTGGGGGAACAGGATGTGAGATAAAAATAGGGAGACAGGAATAGAAATAAAGGAATCTTTTATTGATACTCACCCTGGTATTTCTCCTCTGTTCATTACGTGGCTGGGCCCGGCCTGGCTAGGAACATTCCGCTCTCCGCCTAACAAGCCGAAATAAGAGCAAGGAATAGGAGTTTACTGTAGCGAATGCATCCGCCCATCGTTATTGAGGAACACAACTTGCAAGGGTTTTTAAAAGCTGTGACACGTGCGGAGGGTATTTCTGTGGACCCCAAAACCCATGGGGCTCCACCAGTTATGCCTGACCCAAAGACCCAGCTTGGCCTCTTGAGAACACAAAGAGGCTGCTATGGGGTCCTTCAGGGACTCTGAGGTTGGGGTTTTCCTGGGAGACACTTCATGACTCAGTGCTAGAAGAGAGTGGGGTTTGTGGAGAGGAGGAGGAGGAGGAGGAGGAGGAGGATGAAGACTGTGGGGTCCTTGGTGTTCTCTGAGCTTGGTTGTTTTTTTTTGCAGACCTTTCATGATCCAACTAGGTAACATCATCAGTGCTACTAGAGAATGGGATTGGTGGAGAGGAAGAGGGGAGGAGGAGGAGGTGGGGAAGGGAGGAATGTGAGGTTGGACTGTTGGTTGCTGTCTGAGCTTGGTTGTTTTCTTGCAGCCATTAGCCAACTAGAAGGGAGAGGGGTTTGCTCTCAGTTTATACACAAGTGACTTGCCCTGTCAGTGTTGGTGGGAGCATTCTTGGCGGTTCCTTGATTAGACGGTTATAGACCAAACCCCATGTTCTCATTTAGCGCTGCTGATGTTACCAAGGGTGCAGCCAAACCACACAAGCTTGGCGTGCACAACCCTGAGCTGCAGATGTTCTCTTCTATCAGTACAGGAGCTGCCTTTTCAAGAATAGGCCAGATCCTTTCGTCTCAGGCAGGGAAAGGGGCCACCGCCGAATCAAACCTTGTCCAAGTCCGTCTAGGAAGAAAGCCAGGGTTTTACCTTGCCATCGATCATGGTCCATCTCTCTGTCTGCACTCCCTGTCCAGGAGCGATCTTGATGCCCCTCCAGCTTCCGGCTGTGATCTCCCCAGTGTCTCCCTTCTCTGAGGGCAGGGAGGGAGAGGGGGGGGAAGAGAAAAAAAAAACCTAGCTGTTTTTTCAAATCTCTCGGTGTTTTCAAAAATGTTTTTACTGCTTTAATTGTAGCATGTTTTTTGATGTGTAAGTCGCCCCCGAGTCATTTTGAGGTGAGCAGATATAGAAAATGGGGGGGGG